ATACGAAAGAACCCAAAGAGACTACAATGTTTGAAGAAGAAAGCAAGGAGTTGAGTATTCTTTGCGACATTAGCGTCCTTTCATTTGCAAAAATATCGACGCATCTTCCACTTCCAATTCCTTTGATTCCTGGCCTGAAGATTCAAAATCTTGTTTGGAATTGATTGACGAGTACAAGAAACCATCAGCCAAGAATGGTGGTTCTTCTTTTGGTTCTGTTTCTGTACTGGGGAAGAGGAGAGACTGAGGAGCGACACCGCGGATTTTGTTGACTTGGTCAAAAAGAAAGGGAAAAAAATTGACACCCAGATGGTGGATTTTCTTGAATTGGCGGACAAGTGAAAGCCGGTGTTAAGAATCTTGGATATGGTGAGTTAATTCAACTACTTTCTAGAGTTGATCAGGCTAAGATGGTGTTAATCAACGGCTCCGATTTGTAGCCAAGAATTTGACTTGGTTTATGATAATGAGGGTGTGGGTTCTTTTGCTGGTTTTGATTTAGCTTCTGGGAATGTTGGTCCGAGTTCTAGAGATGCTTTGGTTTAGTTTCTGGAAATGTTGTTTCTGATGGTCTGAGCTTTCTTGAATGTGTGATCTAGTGTCTGGGAATGTGTTTTATGATTATGGGGCAGAGAATGGTCAAGATTGTGATGTGAATGTGTTGATATAAAAAATTGAGGCATGGCTTAATGATAATCAAGAATTTGATAAGGAGTCTCTAATACTGAGTTTTATTCTTCTCTTGAGGAGGATTGTTAGACCTTACAAGGAAGCAATCAAGGTCCTGTAAGTGTTGATGACTTGGAGGGAGATGATCAACAAGAATGCCAGGCACAAAATCCATCAATTCCAACAATTTGAAATTCTGGAAATTTCAGATGATGAAGTTCTGGATTTCTAATCTTTTGAGGAGATGAAGCGTCAGCCATTACAAGCAGCAGTCAAGATCATGTACTTATCGATAACTTGGAGGAAGATCATCAAGAGGAATGTCAGGCTGAAAATTCGGTCGATTCCCTGGTCAGTATTGAAATTGTGGAAATTTCGGATATTTCAGAAGATGAATTGTGGAAATTTCGGATACTTCAGATAATGAAGATGAAGATGAGGAGATTGAATTGATTCCTCAGCCAGTCATGGCTATTGTTTGATTTCTTTGATCAACTTCAACACAGTCTATCAGACCAGATCATGTATTAGGATTGACGGACTGAGATTTTTTTTATTTTATTTTTATAGATCTTAAAATTCTCTCATTCAATGAATAATATAACTCATTGTTATCCCCTTGTTTTATAGTCCTTCTTTGTGCTCTTTTTCTTCTATTTGTAGCCTGTAAACTATCTGCTGAATATCATTTTAGTCTATTAAATTAATTTAAATTTAATTGAATTTGAATTGGAGAAAAATGATGTTGTCATTAACCCTAATTAGTTTGAATTCGGGAAAAAAAGGTGCAAATAAAAACCAAATTAAGCAAGGCTATATATTAATATTAATGGATGATATAATGATGTATATATAATAGGAATATTGATCAATTTGATAAGGGCTAATGGTCATTCCCAAATTGTATATTCTCTATAGTCCCATTTTAAGCCTATAAAAAACCAATTAAGTGAGGCCCATATCCTAATAGCTAATCGGCCCAAAAACAGCCTAGAAAAATTTCAGGGTTTGTATTTCAGGGAAAATGAAATAGGATTTGATTAAGGCAAGTGAAATTTAAATTTCGGGATTATGAAAAAAATAAAAATAAACCTTTTTTAAAATTTTGGGAAAATTGACATGGCAGCTCATAACATGGCAGATGAAGTGGCAACCATGACCACTACGTCTGATGTAAAGAGTGGTGTTCACATAGTATTATTGTTAAATAATAGAAGTCATCGGAAACATGTTAGAAGGCCATCAAAAGAATTAGAGTTATATTGTTATTCAAATGGTTGAACAATAATCACCAAGTCTATGATGTCAAATTTTGTTCTCGACATCATTGACACTTTCTTTATATTATTTATTTATTATCATCGATGATTTGTCAATGATGGTGATGGTCGCATGGGATGCAACACGTGTTTTTTAATTTTATTTTGAAAAAAATAAAAATCAATATTATTTTTAAGATTTTGGAGAGAATTTAATTTTATGAAATCTCTGAGCGTAACATGGACGCCAGTCCATGTATTTTGGACGGCCGTCCTAGTAGATGGACTGGCGTCCATGTAGTTTGGACGGCCGTCCCTAGTAGATGGACGCCAGTCCATATACTAGGGACGGACGTCCATATTTACATTATATTAAAAAAAAAAATTAATAATAAAAAAATTTTACAAACTGGGGACGGCCGTCCATCATTTAGGGACGGCCGTCCCTAAAATTTGGACGGTCGTCCTGATAATTTGGACGGTCGTCCTCATAGAGATGGACGGCCGTCCTTCTAATTTGGACGGCCGTGCCGGTCCATATAGAGGGACGGCCGTCCAAATTATCAGGACGGCCGTCCATATCTATGGACGGCCGTCCAACATATTATATAGAATGGACGCCCGTCCTCCTAATTTGGACGGCCGTCCCCCTTATGTCTGTTTTCAATCGGTGCAACGTGGCGGCTTCCACGTTTTCGGTGCAATTTTTCGGTGCAAGTTTTCGGTGGGTATAGCATTTTTGAAAAAATAAATATTGAAGACTAGATACATGTTAGGAAGGCTGATACGATTCACTAAACAAAACAAACACCCTTCATTCGGCCCAGCTCCATTAACTGGAGAATATTATGTTTTGGAGTTAACTTGTCCTAAGTTCCATATTGTACTTTTTGGAAACAAACCATGATAGAGAGTTGTCTCTTTCTAATTATTGTGTTTTATCTTTCGTGTACTTATTGAGGTCGATTGAGTGATGAATTACGGAGTTAAAAGACAAAAGGATCTTGAGTTCAAGTTGTAACAAGGGCAAAGGGTGGCCACTGGCCATCGGCCACCAATTACCATACCCAAAAAAAGGTGGTTGAAGCATTAGTCTTTGATCTTAACTCACTCAATTCCATCTAAGAAACATACTAAAGGTCATCCAATGAATTAGAGATAAATGATATATCATTATTCAAATAGGTCGACAACAAGTTTGATGATGACAACAATACATTTTATCTTCTCGTTAGTCGTTATCATTTGACAACTTCTTTTAATACACATACATATAATGTTTTAATACACATACGTATAATGTTTTTCAATGTTATTTATTAATTATCATCGTTGATGGATAAATACGATCAACAGCTAATGATGCCAAAGATTTGATAAAACACAATGGTGGTGAATGGTTGCGTGGGATGCAATAAGTGTTTTATAATTTTAATTTTTTTTTTTTTTAAATATCGATATTACTTTCTAAGATCTATAAAGTTATTTGTAATTTTATAAAAATTCAGGAGCTTTAGGGGCTTTCAATCGCCCTTCGTAGTTTGGTTTATGATTGTAATTTGGAGTGATGAAATGGGCCGGGTTAAGCCCAAATGCTACTAGTTTAGTTACAAAACCTAAATCGGGTCTCAATTCCTAGAAGCACACATAATGATTTAAATTTTAAAAGATGAAGTGATTTTTAACTGTCATTTAATTGATCTTCAACCCCACAACTAAGTACACCTCTTCTATAATTAAAAATATTCTATTCAAACCATATTTAATACCAAAAATAAAGCTCTAAACTTAATTAGGTTTATTTTCAAGCTTAATTAGGTTTTTTGTTTTACATCATTTGTTTTTTACACTTTTATTCCCCCAATTTCCGAATTTCAACTTATTTTCTCTTCTTCATATTTAGATTTATCTCATTATGTGTTTCATAATTTTAGTATTATATTTTTCATCAAACAAACAAATATTTAAAATAAAATAAAATGTTTCAATGATTACAAAATTAGGGGATTAGGTTATGAAAATTTAGGATTAGGGTTTGTGTAAGATTAAATGTTAAAATTAAAAATAAAAACATAAAATAGAATATGAGTGTTTTTAGAAATTATAATGTTATTTCTAGTAATTGAAATCAAGATTAAAATATTGTGACATGCGTTGATTAGACCCAAAACAATTAAGAATTGTTTCTAAGAGACCTTAATTTGTTTTTTCTTCAATTCTATCCCTAATTATTTTTTCTATCCCATCTTTAATTCTTCTTCTTTCCTACCTATACCACCACTTAACAACTGTCGATGGCACGTAAGGCCAAATCTGGCCTCGCAAGACAACCATGACATGACACAAGGCCAACGGGCAACAAGACCTGATCTAGCCTTGTACCAATCCAGTGGCATTAGGAGGTCGTTTTTCAACTTCAACAACGTTGATTTCTGGGTTGTGGGGGAGGAGGTGAATTTGTTAGGTTTTAGAGTTAAGAGGGGTAAAGAAAAGAGATTTCAAGGTTAAAAGGGTAAAATCGGCATTTTATATTTTGACAGATTATTGTTAACTACTTTAATAAAATGGGGGATAGACTCCTATTTCTGTACTAATTTTCTACGAATTTTTAAAAACCTCAGAGGATTTTCATAAATAACCCAAAACACTATTTACATATTTTTACTTCAACTTTTATCATTATAAATTTATAATCCTGTCAAATTTGATGGTGTCATAGGTTTTGTGCCTTCTTCGATCGGCAAATTCTCCAAGACTGCCATTTGTCACCATTTCATTTGCACCCATTAGCCACACGCCGCATCCCCGCCCACCAAAATCTCCGCCATGAAGCTTCAAAAAGCTAGCCATAGACGGCTGAAAATGATGCTCATTTTCGTCGTCCAAATTAAACCACCAAATAAACTTTGAAATTGTCACAAAAATGCGTCTACTCATCACAAAAGCATAGTAATTAGTTAACAACAAAATTAATTTTGGCCGGCTTGGTTTACCTTTTACTCAAAAATTAATAAATCAATTATATATAAATAAATCAACATTCAACATTTGAGTCTTACAATGAAAGAAGAAACTAAGATGATGAAGCTTCGGAATTTCTTTCTCTTTGTTGCAGCAGTTCTCGCACTCTCCTATGGCGTGTTTTGTGGTAAGTATTTAAAAAATGCGTTTGATATGTTATTTAAAAATATTTTTTTCTATTTTCTTTTAATTTTGAGGATTGCACTCCCAAATTTTTTGTACAACATTTAAATTCCTTTTATAAATATATTTTTATGAAGTTTATTGTATCTTCAACTTTTTCAAAATGAAAAATTGTATTTAAATTCTGTATCAAATCATGTAGGATTAACTTTTTACTTTAATATTTATGTTAAGTTTTTGATATAGATTCTTTGAGTTTTTTTTTTTTGTGCATAAATGTTTTTGAAATTTTTAGATTGGTTATAACAAATTTATTTTTTTTCATAAAAAGATAACCTTTCTATGTTTGACCGTTAGGAGTTGTCTTTACTACCGAATTAGAACTAATATAATTTGAGTCTCATTAAACACGTTACTTCGTTAAATAATTTTTTTTTTTTTTTTTCAATGACTAAGATGGGAAGGTGATGATGGAATACATTGGAGCCACCGGAGTTGAAGTAACATTTGATGGAGTTCCAATTAGTAATGGCATTGATTTCCATTTCATTCTAAGTTTCGCCGTGGATGCTGACCCTTACGGCAACTACAAGAACGGCAAGTTCTCGCCCTACTGGATCGACACCCTCACGCCGAAATCTGTCGCAGCCATCAAATCCCGTCACCCCAATGTCAAAGCCCTTGCTAGCCTCTCGGGTTGGAGCCTCGGCGACAAAGTCCTTCGTTGGTTAGTTGCATATTAACTTGGAATACATAATATTATTTATACATATTATATTTTTAAGTTAATTTATATATAGTTAAATTAATAATTAATATATAAATAATTAAATAAATAATAACTTATATAGACATTATTATCGAAACCTAACCTTACCTAATTATTTACATGCAATAGGTACAAACCAAAGGATCCAGAAGCCTGGATTTCAAATGCATTTTCATCCCTCAAATCCATAGCAAAGACATACCATCTTGATGGCATCGACATCGACTATGAAAACTTCCCCAAAAAAAACACATCATCCTTCGCCTACTGCATCGGCGAACTCATCACCCTCTTGAAGAACCAATCCGTGATTTCCGTGGCCACAATCGCCCCATTTCACACCACCGTTCCGCACTACGTCGAGCTCTTTAACAAATATGGTGCCGTAATCGACTACGTCAACTACCAGTTCTACACCGACAAGGTCAAGAATCCGGGAGGGTTCTTGAAGACGTTTGNTTAATAATTAGATAAATAATAACTTTATATAGACATTATTATCGAAACCTAACCTTACCTAATTATTTACATGCAACAGGTACAACCCAAAGGATCCAGAAGCCTGGATTTCAAATGCATTTTCATCCCTCAAATCCATAACAAAGACATACCATCTTGATGGCATCGACATCGACTATGAAAACTTCCCCAAAAAAAACATATCATCCTTCGCCTACTGCATCGGCGAACTCATCACCCTCTTGAAGAACCAATCCGTGATTTCCGTGGCCACAATCGCCCCATTTCACACCACCGTTCCGCACTACGTCGAGCTCTTTAACAAATATGATGCCGTAATCGACTACGTCAACTACCAGTTCTACACCGACAAGGTCAAGAATCCGGGAGGGTTCTTGAAGACGTTTGTGCTGTGGGCTGAGCAGTTTGATAGGGCCAAACTGTTGCCGAGCTATGAGGTGAACGGGAGAGGGATTCAGGGAGATGGGTTCTTTGAGGCTTTGAGATTGTTGGAGGCAAAAGGGTTTGATGTTAATGGAGTTATGATCTTCTCGGCTGATGCTTCTATGGATAATGGGTATTATTATGAGAAGAAATCTCAGGCTTTCTTGCTCAACTCTACTCGAGTTTGACGAGAATCTTGAAGATTATCGGATGCGGAGGTTCTGAAAATTTTAAAATACGGACGAAGTTTTCTTGTATCTCTAACATCATTGGAAAGCTCTTTATCCTCGACCGCGTCAGGGCGTGCAAGTTCATGCATTCTCTATGTCGGTGTTCATTGCGACGGGATGAACAGTTGAAAACTATTAAAAAATAAAATTATAGTAGAATTTAATGGCTTAATTTTTTATAATATAGAATGATTGTTTATGAAAGAATTGAAGATGGTGATTTTAGAACTTATATTGGGAAAGTATTGAGTTAACCATTACATGGATGCTTTTAAGGTGTTTTTTTTTTTTTTTTTTTTTTAATTACTTGAGTGTTCAGACCCTGTAACATCATATCATAACTTTTGTTTCATCACCATCTCCTTAACTTTTAATCACTCTTCAATGTCAATCTCTACCAAACAAATCGTGTACAGCTTTAAATATTTAGTCACACAATGTATGTTCAATTGCTATATATGAACAAAAGAACAAACCCCTAAAAAATGGATATAGCAGTTAACCATAAATAACCAGAAGCATAGTTGAACCAAATATTCAAAGGCTATCAAGAATAAACTGTATATTGTACATTGATGGAGTCAAGAGTTAATCCTGTGTGAGTACTCAGGATCCCACTCTGTTCCCTTCAGGTTTCCACGCATACCTAATAACGCCCTGCTCCAACCAGAAGCCATCACAAGCTGCCTCTCTAACTGCACATTGGCCTTCCTATATCCAGTTCCTCTCGGCTTCCTTCAACTTCTGAAAAATTTGAACAAAAACAAAAACCGATTAAACATCCATATACACCAAACATATGGTAAAAGAACAACAAATTTCAACAATCTAATCTTATTCTCAAAATATTTAATTCACCATCCTTCCTACAACCGAGGATTGTTAATAACAGTCCCTAGCTGTACATGTGACACGTGTAATTGCTTTGAACTTTTAACCATCACAAGTTTTACTCCATTACGGAACATCTCTCAGTAAACCTCCAGCATGGTATGAGTAACAATAAATATCCATTTCTAGCTAAATGCGCATAATCAACAAGCTACCGGTAACGTTACTAGTACTGGTCCGGTTACCGGCAACCAATTTTAGAAAAGAATATTGTTGATAGTAATTTGTCTTTAATAAGCTGATACTTTCCATTATCCCCCGACATTGGACTCTCCAGCCCCTTAATTTCCCCCTCTTTTTAAGTGTATTGAATGATAGTAATTAACCCCAGTATATTCATAACTATGGAGAGAATGGTGAAAACTGTAGATTTTGTCATTACTACTTTTGCCTTGTAATTGTTTCTTTATATAGTGAACAAATACGTTGTCAAGTGTCATGGATCCCACGTCGAAAGAAAAATGGGGGGTTTTGGGTTTATAAGGGGGAGTTTCTCTATCTAATAGATTAGCATTTTGGGTGTGAAACTCTCAACATGTAACAAGTGATATCAAAGCCGAATCAAATTCGTTTTTTGGTGTCCTACCAAGCGCCTACACAGAGAGACGTCTACATGTGATTGTGGGTCTACTCGAAGGTAAGGTGGACAGGCAGGCACGGGCCCCACCTGTGATGAGGGCATACATTCTTAATTTAAAATGAATGTAATCTAACAAATTTAATGAGAAATTAGTCAATAGCAATAATGTTAGATGTACAAAGATTTTTTATACAAAATAAGTTAACAGAAGATGAATAGAGGAGTAAATATAAAAAGTCCAACTCATCATATTTACTTTTCCATTAATTTTAAACATAATTTTAGTTTAACAAAATATTAGAAAAGTGAGTTAGATATTTAATAAAAAAAAAATTATGATTTATTCTTAAATGTTGAGCTATATTAATATGTAATTTAAGAATTAATATTTAAATTTAGGACATATATATATAACGGAAGGACGGATAGATGAATGCAAAATGTTAAAATATATATAACAGAAGGATGGAAGTTTCCTTCGTATTACAACTGTGGTGTTTATATATTTTAAAATTTTGCATAAAAAAATCTTCCCCACCAATTAGTGGATTCGATTGTCTCGTGAACGATACCCTGGAAGAAGACCTTTTTTTTTTTTTTTTCGCATAAATGTTTTTGAAATTTTTAGATTGGTTATAACAATTTTATTTTTTTATGAAGAGATAACCTTTCTATGTTTGACTATTGAGTTGTCTACTTGTCTTTACTACCGAAGCAGATCTAATATAATTTGAGTCTCATTAAACACATTACTTAGTTAAATAATTTTTTTTTTTTTTTTTTTTTGGTTTGAATGACCAAGATGGGAAGGTGATGATGGAATACATTGGAGCCACCGGAGTTGAAGTAACATTTGATGGAGTTCCAATTAGTAATGGCATTATCTTTTTATGCTTCATTTATTTCAATTGATATTGTTATTAATATTGTTAATTGAATTTTAGTTATCTGACGATATTCTCCTCAGAATCCTCTCAAAACTTCCCCTTTCGCAGCGTAACGCTAACTCGCTTGTTTGCAAACGCTGGTTGAATCTTCAGGGTCAGCTTTTACCCTCACTCAGGGTGTTGGATTGGGAATTTCTTGAAGCCGGTAGGTTGATTTTAAGATTCCCAAATTTGACCGATGTTGATATATTTGATAAGTGCGTCTCTTGTTTCGCCTAGAAATTCTGTTGAGTCATTAGTTGCTCTGTGTCCATGTTGGTTCTTGGGTTACAAGGTTTTATGAGCATAACATGTTGTTACCTGTTGAAGGCTAGCAAATCTTGCTAGTGGGTGCACGAATTTGAGTAGACTTGTGGTGGTTGGAGCTAACGAGTTAGGATTGTTGAGTGTAGCTGAAGAGTGTTTGACTTTGCAAGAATTGGAGCTGCACAAGTGTAGTGATAATGTGTTGCGTGGAATTGCTGCATGTGAGAATTTTCAAATCTTAAAATTGGTTGGACATTTGGATGGGTTTTACAGCTTATTGGTTTCGGATATTGAGTTGACAATTTTGGCTCAAGGGTGTAAGAGATTGGTTAAGCTTGAGCTTAGTAGTTGCGAGAGTAGTTTTGATGGGATAAAAGCAATTGGGCAGTGTTGTCAAATGCTTGGGGAATTGACGTTTGTTGATCATAGGATGGATGGTGGGTGGATGGCTGCTCTTTCATATAGTGAGAATTTGAAGACTTTTGAGGTTTGTTTCATGTAAAAGGATGGATCCTAGTCCAGGGCCGGATGAGTATTTGGGTTACTGTCTGGCTCTTGAATGGTTGCATTTGCAAAAGTGTCAGTTGAGGGATAAGAAGAATGTGAGACTGCTGTTCAGGGTGTAAGAAGCTGTTAGGGAAGTTATGTTTCAGGATTGTTGGGGATTGGATAATGATATCTTCAGTTTTGCAAGTGTTTTCAGGTAATGGGTTCTCTTTATCTGTTTGTTTACTTTTGTTGCCGTGCTTCCGAGCTGGTGGATTTCCAAATATATTGTTAGGTATCTAATACCACTATGCAATTTCTTATTTTAGTTAATGTTATCAAGGAAAATGGAAGTTGAAAGGATCACAAAATCATCAGTGTATAACAGCGTAATCCTATGTAGTGACATGCAGAATAACTGAATACATATCCTATACATGAACGCTTTTCAGAATATCTAAGTCTGTCTTTTTGGGTTGCATTATTGCAATAACAATCAATTTTGAGAAGTAGATCCTTGTACTTACGGGAGATTTGATGTTGTCACTGAACAATTTGTTGTTTATATATGGTAGAGTACTACCATTGGACTACTTCAAGTGAATTTGAATGTGTGATTTTAGTGTTAGAAGGTTAAATCTAATGGTTGTTTGACAATCTTTGTTTAGTTTTCAATACTTTAGGGAATATGTTAGTGAAGATCCAGATAAGCTACATATCAGAGTTGTTTGATTGGAATGTTTATTGATGTTGCTTTCACTGCAGGAGAGTAAAGTTTTTATCTTTAGAAGGATGCTCACTGCTAACAACAGAAGAAATGTGAGAGTGCTGTTCAGGGTGTGTGAAGCTGTTAGGGAAGTTATGTTTCAGGATTGTTGGGGATTGGATAATGATATCTTCAGTTTTGGAAGTGTTTTCAGGTAATGGGTTCTCTTCATCTGTTTGTTTACTTTTGTTGCCGTGCTTCCGAGTGGTGGATTTCCATATATAGTGTTAGGTATCTAATACCACTATGCAATTTCTTATTTTAGTTAATGTTATCACGGAAAATGGAAGTTGAAAGGATCGCAAAATCATCAGTGTATAACAACATAATCTATGTAGTGACATGAAGAGTAGCTGAATAAATCAACATGAACGCTTTTAGGAATATCTAAGTCTGTGTCTTTTTGGGCTGACATTATTACATTAACAATCAATTTTTAGAAGTAGATCCTTGTACTTACGAGAGATTTGATGTTGTCACTGAACAATTTGGGTGTGTTTGGTTTATTATTTTGGATATGATTTTTGGAATAATATTGGATAGTTGAATAGGGTTATGATTACGAGAATAAGATTTGAAAAATATGTGTTTGGTAGAATATTTTTACCTTGATATTTGTGTTGAATATTTGATTGATATATTTTTTTATAAATGATTTATTAATATAATATTTGGGTGGATTTTGTTAAAATAATGTATTATTATATATATAACTTATCAATTTACATTTTAATAATATTAGTGTGGAACAAGATATAATGGCGGGTGGTTCACAGTGAATATTAGTGTGGGATAGATCTGCTGCTGTGAGTGGTTCACGGTGGATATTAGTATGGGACAGATCTGGTGGTGGGGGTTCACAGTGAATATTAGTGTGGGACAGATCTGCTGCTGTGGGTGGTTCATGGTGAATATTGTTTGGGTGGTGCAGATGGAGAAGAAGTTGGATGTGCTTTGTTTATTTGCAGGTGGAGAAGAAGTTGGATGGAAGAAGAAGAAGTTTGTAAACGTGGTGAAGCAGTGATGCAGCGAAGAAGATGAGAAAATGAAAAAAAAATGAGAGAGAGAAAACAAAAGCTGCAAAAAGTCAAACGGTCAAATACATGATGCAGTGAAGAAGATGAGCAAATGAAAAAGAGAAAAAGAAGCTGCAAAAAGTTGCTACGGTCAAATATATGTCAGGATCGTTTTTTCAGGATTCAATTGTGTGAATAATGAGCCAAACACTATTCAAATAATCGGTTTCAGAATATGAAAATAAATAATAAACCAAACGCGCCCTTGTTGTTTATACATGGAAAAGGAATTGATTATGAATGAATCATTAGCGCATACTTTGTAATTGCAGTCTGTGCGCACTATAATGAAGCAGTTGAGCTTGAAATTGATAACCTGTAGCTGAGTTTAATAAACAATACCATGTAATTATGATAGAGTACTACCATCGGACTATCTCAAATGAATTTGAATGTGTGATTTTAGTGTTAGAAGATTAAATCTAATGGTTGTTTGACATTCTTTGTTTAGTTTTCAATACTTTAGGGAACATGTTAGCGAAGATCTAGATAAGCTACATATCAGAGTTGTTTGATTGAATGTTTATTGATGATGCTTTCATTGCAGGGAGTAAAGTTTTTATCTTTAGAAGGATGCTCACTGCCAACAACAGAAGGTCTGGAATATGTGATTCTTTCCTGGACAGAGCTTGAAAATCTGAGTGTGATGTCATGTAAGAACATAAAGGATGGTTAAGTCTCTCCTGCACTTTCAACCTTGTTCTCTACCCTTAAAGAGCTGAAATGGAGGCCAGACACCAAATCTCTTCTTGCTTCAAGTCTTATGGGAACTGGCATGGGATAAAAAGGTGGTAAATTTTTCAAGAAGACATAATGCCCCTAAATAGTCACCTAAAAAGATTAGATTTTGCAGTGTTTTCCCAACCACAACCACCATGAAGCAACATTACTCTTCGAAATGGTATCGATCCATTGTAACCACTCTTGTTTATTTAGGCAGTTAACATTCATGTTGACAAAGGCAAATTTTTCCTCGGCCTCCCCCTTGTCAGTGTGGATGCCACCCAAAGCTGAAGTATCATGAATTCGCAAGCCCTGTTCAGCCTTTTTCAGTTCAGATTAGATTGCGGATATCATGCTCATTTCAATGTCATGTGCAGGCTTCTCTAGAGGGTGTTTAGGTGTTATTGATGTTTCTAAAATGTTTAGCATATACTATTTCTAAGACTCTGATTAGAATGGAGTATCTGTGTAGAGTTATTATCTGACTGTAAAATATAATTGTACTTCACTATCTGAAATCAATCTATTGTTGCTATCCCATATACAATAGTTACATTATTACCTCTTTTTCATTATTCACGTTTTTGCTTTTATCTTTCTGGCGCTGGTGAGTTATGATATTATGAAAGCAGGGGTGAATCGACAAGTTGGAAATATTGTGTTGCTGCAGAAATTACAGTTTTTATACTTTGATTAATTTTTTAGTAGAATTTGAAAATAATCAAAACTATTAAATAAAACAAGACAACGAATTCGAATGAAATTTCAAGAAACTGATGTACTTGGCTATTATAGAAACTAACAATTAAAAAGAGATCCGATTAAATGCCCTTTAAAAACAAAAAATTATACAAAAAAGAAGTTTCTGAGTTGAGTGAGAATCTTCAACTTCAAAACAAATCATTAACGATGGAGTACTGCGAATAATTCTGTTGATTCTGATACAGATATTCTATTGCTGAAGCATATTCATCGTTATAAACCTCCGTCTCATCTTCAAGTTGTAATTGTTGTTGCACCATGGTGGTGATGGGGGTGGTTGTACTTGTAGCCGGCAGTACTGCGAGTGGTAGTGGTTCAGAATCCGCTTCTTGAACCTTATTCCTCTTCTTCTTCTTTGCAAAATCCACTTCTTGACACTTTCCCCTCTTCTTCTTCTTCAGAGCTGTTTCGTTCTTTCTTATACGGCAAACCACGTAATCGCTATGTTGATTTGGACCCAGAAAAGACGAATCCAGACTATATTCGTGCATGATCCATCCACCGTGCTGATAGGAGTCTTTGTTTTCGTACCGAAATCTCTTCTTAGTCCCAATCCTCATATTGTCTATTACTATTCCTCTACCGCCATCTTCTCCCTGCCATGTCCCTGTTCCAACACTACGATCGATTTTTGAACCTTTTGAAGTCTTTTTCTTCAATTGGGTGAAGAAGTACAAATCTTGATCATCACGTTTCCGTCCCAGCCGTTGTTTAAAGAAATTCCAAATCTGCCAGGGTTCTTCAGAACCATATAGATCATATTGTGGAATTAAATAATCAATACCAGAAATGGATTGGTTCGCTATCTTGTTGCAAAGATAGAAACCCACCAATTCGCAGTCCGTGGGATCGAAAACGTAGCCAACGGGAGGAGAGAACTGAACTGCTTCCATAGTTTTCTTGTTACGCCAACGGAAAGAGAGAAGTTAACTACTTGCACAGTTAAAGCAACCAAATATGAAAGAAAGAAGTGGAGAGGTTTATCAGAGCAGGCGTTGGCGTTATTTATTAACGAAGGGGTCTCCTAAAATCGGAGAAATCAGCTTCTAGTTTGGTTTCTTGTAACCCAAGTAATTTTAAAATTAAGGAAAGAAAGAGCCGTTATAGACCCCGCGGGAATTCGTTAGGAATTAAAAAAAGTTCCGTTGGAGCCTACCGCGGGGGTTTTGAAAGTTAGTTACGCTAGGAGCTTCGGTTTTATTAATTAAAAGAAAAAGAAAGTTACCGTTGGAACCCCTTCGAGACTAGAGAGTGATTTGTAGTAGATCAAACGCGAGAAAACTGTCTGGAAAGGCCGAGAAAATCAAGAAGCGAAGCAAGAAAGAGATAGTACCTTTGCCACCCATTTGTGAGTTATATCTCAAACCACAGAAATTTCTGATTTCTTCTAAACCTTTCGTTTGAGAGATGTTATTATGTGGTGTGAAATTGCTTTAGAGAATGGTTTTTGCTTTCCATTGATGACTAATATGTTTGGTTTTAAAAAATGTTGATGCATGATTTTAATACCAATTAAATGCACGTGGAAAATATTGAGCTGACTCAGAAGACACACGTATACGGGGATATTGAACTGAACAGAAGATGAATAACAGTGTTTAAAGTGGTTCGGATGCTTAAATAAGCGAATCCTACGTCCAATGGTATGGTATTAATATATGAGATCAGATCGCGTTCAACGAGCTAACTTACAAGAGATTGCAAGAGAGAGAGAGAGAGCGTATATATGCTATTTCAGAGAGAAATTAGATAATCCCACAAACAGGAGAGGATCTCTCTATTTATAGTGGGATGAATTGAGGTAATGATTACTAAATCAGGGAATGGGTCAGATTGCCATGTAAATCCTTCATTGCGTCCTGTTGTTTACCTGCTCGAGTGATTTACTCGACGTTTGCAGGGATTGGACACGTGAATCTCTTCCAACCTGGCGCACACCCACTACATTGGCAGGAGTATGCCGCTTGCATCAGCGTGCGACGTGACTGCGTCTGAATGGTTGCTGGACTTACCTAAGCTCTGACCGTTGATGCTGACAAGACTCTACGTCAGCCCTATTTTTTTAGGTATAACAAAGAAAATTTTAGAAATGAACCCTAGATTTGAAGATTTTTGTTGTTTAGGGTTTTAAGATAACCATCACTTTACATCGACTAAGCCCAGAGAATTATGATTGGTTGCTGAGAAAATCATGGAAAGGAAAACAAAACAAAATGAACTAAGAGTTTCTTCAATGGGACATTCCTCAATTTTGGGTTAATAGTTTTTGCTCTTTCTGTTTTTTCTTTTTTATTTATTCAATAACTAAGTCTAAGAGCTTAAAATCTGATAAACTATTATTAGTTTCCAAGATGAAATCAATTATGATCTCTTTTAAAATTAATCTCTTTATTAGAATAAAAAAATTTTGGGATTTTTTTAATTTAATATGTATTTTTTTTTTATCCTAATGTTCAAATGCTCATTGACGTCAAGCTGTTTAAAGGAATCCGTGTTGAAGAGATTTAATTGAATACTAGTAAATCCTAAATTCCTAAAATCGAAAAATAATACGAACAAATAACACAAAATAACTACACACACAAACACAAAATTTATAGTGGTTCACTCTCCGTATGAGAGCTACGTCTACTTTGCCGCTGGAAAATTTCACTATGAAGAAGAAAAAAATTACAAGAATTTCTCAAGTCTTATAAATTGGCTCACTCACTAAACCCTATTTGATGGCTCTCATTCTGAACATGATTTTTTCTTCTATTCAATTTGTGATATCTAACTCTAGGACTTAATCCATTTTTATAGGTAATATAAGAAACACAATTCCTAATAGCACTCAAATCTTATATCCTAATAAGAATTATATTTTAATTCCTAATACAATTATAATCCTATTTTCATTTGTATTTCTATAAAAAATAATAATAATAATAATTTTACTTAAATACAAATTAGGAAAACTCATGTCCTAATCCAACTCTAATTGGTATTCAATTTGGCTCCGCGATATCAAGAACCCGCGGGTAACGCGAATTTATTCATTAACTGGTAATCTCTGATTTTTTGTTTTTTTGTTTTTCTTTCTCGCTCTCTCTGAAAGTGATAATGGCGATACGAAAGAACCCAAAGAGACTACAATGTTTGAAGAAGAAGAGCAAGGAGTTGAGTATTCTTTGCGACATTAGCGTCCTTTTCATTTGCAAAAATATCGACGCATCTTCCACTTCCAATTCCTTTGATTCCTGGCCTGAAGATTCAAAATCTTGTTTGGAATTGATTGACGAGTACAAGAAAACCATCAGCATCAAGAATGGTGGTTCTTCTTTTGGTTCTGTTTCTGTACTGGGGAAGAGGAGAGGACTGAGGAGCGACACCCAGGCGGATTTTGTTGACTTGGTCAAAAAGAAAGGGAAAAAAATTGACACCCAGATGGTGGATTTTCTTGAATTGGCGGACAAAGTGAAAGCCGGTGTTAAGAATCTTGGATATGGTGAGTTAATTCAACTACTTTCTAGAGTTGATCAGGCTAAGATGGGTGTTAATCAACGGCTCCGATTTGTTAGCCAAGAATTTGACTTGGTTTATGATAATGAGGGTGTGGGTTCTTTTGCTGGTTTTGATTTAGCTTCTGGGAATGTTGGTCCGAGTTCTAGAGATGCTTTTGGTTTAGTTTCTGGAAATGTTGTTTCTGATGGTCTGAGCTTTCTTGAAGGTTTTGATCTAGTGTCTGGGAATGTGTTTTATGATTATGGGGCAGAGAATGGTCAAGATTGTGATGTGAATGTGTTTGATATAAAAAATCTTGAGGCATGGCTTAATGATAATCAAGAATTTGATAAGGAGGTCTCTAATACTGAGTTTATTTCTTCTCTTGAGGAGGAGATGTGTTAAGACCTTACAAGGAAGCAATCAAGGTCCTGTAAGTGTTGATGACTTGGAGGGAGATGATCAACAAGAATGCCAGGCACAAAATTCCATCAATTCCAACAATATTGAAATTCTGGAAATTTCAGATGATGAAGTTCTGGAAATTTCTAATACTTTTGAGGAGATGAAGCGTCAGACATTACAAGCGAGCAGTCAAGATCATGTACTTATTGATAACTTGGAGGAAGATCATCAAGAGGAATGTCAGGCTGAAAATTCGGTCGATTCCCTGGTCAGTATTGAAATTGTGGAAATTTCGGATATTTCAGAAGATGAAATTGTGGAAATTTCGGATACTTCAGATAATGAAGATGAAGATGAGGAGATTGAATTGATTCCCTCAAGCCAGTCATGGCTATTGTTTGATTTCTTTGATCAACTTCAACACAGTCTATCGGACCAGATCATGTATTAGGATTGACTGGACTGAGATTTTTTTTATTTTTATTTTTATAGATTCTTAAATTCATTCTCATTCAATGAATAATATAACTCATTGTTTATCCCCTTGTTTTATAGTCCTTCTTTTGTGCTCTTTTTCTTCTATTTGTAGCCTGATAAACTATCTGCTGAAGTAGTCATTTTAGTCTATTAAATTAAGTTTGAAATTTAATTGAATTTGAAATTGGAGAAAAATGATGTTGTCATTAACCCTAATTAAGTTTGAAATTCGGGAAAAAAAGGTGCAAATAAAAACCAAATTAAGCAAGGCTATATATTAATATTAAATGGATATGATAATAATGATGTATATAATAATAGGAGATATTGATCAATTTGATAAGGGCTAATGGTCATTCCCAAATTGTATATTCTACTCTAGTCCCAATTTTAAGCCTAGAAAATAAACCAATTAAGGAGGCCCATGTCCTAATCGGCCCAAAAATAAGCCTAGAAAAATTTCAGGGTTTGTATTTCAGGGAAAATGAAATTAAGGATTTGATTAAGGCAAAGTGAAATTTGAAATTTCGGGATTATGAAAAAAATAAAAAATAAACCTTTTTTAAAATTTTGGGGAAAATTGACATGGCAGCTCAATAACATGGCAGATGAAGTGGCAACCATTGACCACTACGTCATGATGTAAGAGAGTGGTGTTCACATAGTATTATTGTTAAATAATAGAAGTCATCGGAAACATGTTAGGAAGGCCATCAAAAGAATTAGAGTTATATTGTTATTCAAATGGGTTGACAATAATCACCAAGTCTAATGATGTCAAATTTGTTCTCGACATCATTTGACAACTTTCTTTAATATTATTTATTTATTATCATCGATGATATTGTCAATGATGGTGATGGTCGCATGGGATGCAACACGTGTTTTTTAATTTTTATTTTGAAAAAAATAAAAAATCAATATTATTTTTAAGATTTATGGAGACATTTGTAATTTTATGAAATCTCTGAGCGTTTCGTAGCTCTTCCTAGTTTGGTTTATGATTGTAATTTAGAGTGATGAAATGGGCCAGGTTAAGCCCAAATGCTACTAGTTTGGTTCAAGACTTAAAACGGGTCTCAGTTTCTACAAGGCACACATAGTGATTTAAAAAATGGGAAGTGATTTTTAACCCCACCTTATTGATCTTCACCCCTTATGACTAAGTAAACCTCTTCTATAATTAAAAATATTCTCTTCAAACCTCATTAAATACCGAAAATAACCCTCTAAGCTTAATTAGATTTACTTTCCTCAATTTCAAATTTAATTATGTCTTTTGTTTGTCACCTTTTTTCCTAAATCAAACTTAATTATGTTTCTCTTCTTCATATTGAAATTCATTCCACTATATTTTCTATAGTTTTAGTATTATATTTTCATCAAACAAACAAATATTTAAAATAAAATAAAATGTTTCAATGATGATAAAAATTTGGGATTAGGTTATGAAAATTTAGGATTAGGGTTTATGTGAGATTAAATTTAAAAATTAAAAATCAAAATCAAAATATAATATGAGTATATT